GGAGTAACACGTCATCCAAATGAGGCCTTCTCGTGGTACAGTACTCAGTAGCCCAGAATTAATTTCTTAAGTTTGTCAATATCTGACAAAGCATAAATAGTGTCTGTAAACGAAGTGACAGCGTTTCTGGGAACAAGATTTGAAATGAGTAATGTGATAAGGTATGGTTCAGACTATTTTTATTCAGTCTCAACGTACGAGGTGGAGTCCTTTCTACAAGTTGCTTTCTTCTGGTTCTGCTGTTCAGACATACCTTAAATCTAAGAGGTAGTGAGACTTGGATATCGTTCCCCTTGTAGGAAAGGGCAAGATATGTAGGAGAAGTGAACAAATGCTTAAGCTGGTGCAGCCTCTGTACCTGCACTGATCATTAACTGGGAATTTCAAAGTTTAAATTTTTGCAATAGTCAAAGCATAGAGAACAGAAATGGTGGAAATATTACTTAACTATACTTGAGCCAGTGTTGAGGAGTTCTTTGCTGTGTGCTCACCATTGCTTTCTTTAGGCCAATTTAAAGGTCTTCAAAGATAATTATTCTGCAGTATCCTTCTTGGCAAACAGTTTGTGCTATAGGTGTTCTCATTCTGTGATTGCTTACTCTGGATAGCTGGAAAAATAAAATACCTTACGATACTAGCAGCAGATCCAGGTGGGACATACCATGCAAACATTTTTGACTGAAAGCAGCGCAGGGGTGCTGCTATATTTAGGAAAAGCACTTTAATTTGAGAATTAGAAATGTAAGCATTAGAATTTGTACCCACTTTTGTACCCAAGTGTAGGTGCTGAGCAAATGCCAGCAAGGAAGGGCTTCTGGCTGAGTAAAATCACTGAGACCTTCTGCTCCTTAAGCAACCATACTTTCAAAACAATAGTATTTTTATGGAAGAAAGGTGATCCTCATTTTTGGGTACCAAAGATGTTCTGAGAGTGGCTATTTCATCTCCACCTGCTCTGAATTTGCATATTTTCTATATGTTCAAAGCAAGTAATAAGGACCTCTTCTTATTTTGCTCTTCCATTAGTGTTTCCTGACTCCAGGATTCCCTGCTCTTTCTGACAGTCATTACTGGCACACACTGCTCTCATTTGGGTCTCATGAGTGAGAACAACCTACTAGTCTGTAGCTGCTTCTGTAAAGTTGACAGTCTGACAGCACACAGTGCTCTCATTTGTTCTCATTGTTCTCATGAGTGAGAACAACCCACTAGTCTGTAGCTGCTTCTGTAAAGTTTGTCACTTTGTACTACACTGCTATCTCTCTAAACTTTGACAGTTACAAAACGGGCTGCAATGTGTTGGAAACTTCAGGAAAGAAAACAGCCCCTTTCCAGACTTTGTTGATCCAAACTAGAAGTTTTTATATGCGACAGTTATCTTTAACATTTCTCTCAGCTGCTTTAACAGAGACATATATCAGAATGAACTGCAAGCTCACCACAGAAGTGAATTAAAGTCTGCAGGTTTGTTTATGAAATACTAAAAGAAAACCTAAAAGCTAGAAGACTACAGAACTTAATCGCATTAGTCCCTCAGAGAGCACAGCTTCTGGGGTTTTTTTGTTGCCACGCTGTTTAGTCGCTAGATTATCCTAACACTGAGAGACAACAGGACAAGAGAACCAGCAAGATTGCTGTCGTCTAAAAAAGTTGGTCTAAAAATGTTTTGTAAAGAATAATCTCTTTTCTCCACAGGCCAGATTCTGGGGAACCTCTTCAAGCCAAAAACAGAAGAAAATGCAAGTAGGCTGAAAACAAAAAGCTGTGCTGTGTTGAAGTTTATGACTTTAACCAGTGAGGCTATTTAATGGAGGGAAAAAAGTGGCCAGTTTCTGGAGAGAAAGAGATCCCCCAGGGCACTGGGGATAAGATCATTGGGTCCTGTGAGATAAAAAGGAAGAAGCAGGTAATTATCACTGGTAGCAGAGTGAGAGGTTAGCAGAAGGTGGGAGGTGGGAAAGTTACGTTTTTCTGGAAAGCTAGTATCTCTTAGCTCTACAGTTTCTGGCATCTGCTAGAGTTATTGAGTCTAATGTGTGTACTCGCTTCGCAGTTGGCTTGTAGGTCGCCCTAGAGAATCAGAAAGACTAATCAAGGATGAAGAGGTTGTTTCATGAAAACAGTCTAAAAATGCTGTGGCACAGTGTGACCTTCTCCATTGCCGGCTGCGGTTGTTTCAGTGTGTGCTGGTTTGATCCACGTAGGTGATTCCCAAAAGGCCACTTGATATACTGGATGAAGTGTATTATAGTTTGATTCCTCTGTAGCCTTTACTGTAGCGGGAGTGTTGACAATTTTTTGTCCCAGCGTAGTGTGTGGCAACACAAAGGAAGTCTGTTTCTGGTGATTATGTCAGCCAGGTTTCAGATCTTTAAATAAACGCTAGGACGGAGGTTTCAGGAAAAAGTTCTTGCACAATGTGATATCCTTCTAGAATGGATGGTAATTTTTAAAGATTTTTCCATAGCAGGTTCAGTTCAGAGCAGTAAACAACAACTGGAGATACAGCCTAAGTGCCAGCATATCTGTTTGCATCACACTACGTTTTTCTGTAGTACCCAATGAGCTCAAAGGCTCATACGTGCTCTAGAGGAGAGTTCTGCTCTTTACACTGGTGAAATGAGCTCACAAGTATTTATCTCAGCACATCTGAGGTACCGGGTGGTACTTTACAGATTATTTGGTAGGCCTTTGGTGTATGATGGAGTTACGGAGTTAGGTGGATTGTTACATAGGCTTTGTCTCTAGGGGTGGCATCTCTTAATTTTCCAGATTTCTAGATGTTCCTTAAACTTTATGTTGCCACAGCCATTAGAGTATTTCAAAAGCATGGTTACGCTGTGGTGTTTGCTGCAGTTGCTGGCACGCTTTCCGGTGTGCACTGGAATTCAGTTAGCATACATTACTGCTCCAGTGGAGTCACTGATACTTGCAGCTATTTAGGTAACAGTGGGTGTTATGTCTCTCAGTGGTTAGTGGGAATATTAGGATCCCCCAAGACAGCAAGTAAGGGACAAGTCTAATGGATTAAATTAATGCCTGCTGTAGTTTGGACAGCTTCAGCTAGAATTATCTCAGGAATGAACTTGATCCAATGTGTGAACGGAACTGTTATCAAGAGAATTGCTGGTCTCCTTTAGTTGTATTGTCAGAACTGTAATAAAAACTTTATTTCTTGTGGGAAAGGTCAAGGAGAGATCTGTTCTCACCGGAATCAACATCAGATATTCTCTTCACAAATACAGCCAGATTCTTGGCTAGTATAACTGGCCCATCTGATTCTCAGTGCATCTGCAGAATCAAATACTATCTCCAATGTCCTTCATGAAACCAGTATTGCAGCAGGTTTTCGCAATCGACACATAATTACACGATTTACTGGGTAATCTGTGGTTTTATGCTGTACAGACCAGAATGGAATCTAAGTGTCCAGGATGCCTTGCAGATGGTGTGAGGCAGATTAGTGATGATAATGTGCCTCAACTCCGTAGCACTAGCAAAATAGCTCGACAACTGGTTATAGGTAAATGGATGCCACTCCTGCTTGGTCTGACGTGTGATTCATAGAATCATAGAATCATAGAATGCTTAGGGTTGGAAGGGACCTCTAGAGATCATCTAGTCCAACCCCCCTGCACACGCAGGGTCACCTAGAGCACGTGGCACAGGACTGCGTCCAAGCGGGTTTTGAAGATCTCCAGAGAAGGAGACTCCACAACTTCTCTGGGCAGCCTGTTCCAGTGCTCCTTCTTCTTCCCCCACACCTCCCACTCTTGATTTGAAACAGGACTGGGACCAGATCCATTGTAATAATGAAGAATTTAAGGGAATTTAGTGGTGGGGGTGGGGGGGTAATGCTGCAGGATGAAACATTCATACAGTATAAGTCTCATTTGGGAATGCCCACTATTCACATTATGAATCTTCATCTTTTAACAGTTAAATTGGTCTACTGACACCAGACTTGAAAGAGGTAACTTTTTGGTAGTTTAACTAGATAGATGTACCTTCCTGATGTTTCCAGAGCTCTTGCTATACTGCAACTGTTATTTTCAAGTTGCCTTTTTTTTTTTTTTTTTTTTTTTTTTAATATGTACTTCGCAAGGGTAGGAAATTTGAGAAGTTGAGTAGCAAATACCTTCCTTCCCATTACATTTTTTTCAGGGTGTGGACATTTTATATTTTCTTTCCCCATAAGTGTAATGTAGCTGATTTTGTTTGTTGTCTCTGGAAAGAGAGAGGAGAAACAACCTTGATAACGTGAGAGGAAATTTCCATTCCTAAAGGAAATCTATTGCACTCTGAAGATCTCAGATTAGCGTCAATTTTTTTGTGTTTTTCAAAGACTAATAGAGTGACTGTTAATGCAAACATAAAAACAGTGGAAACACAGACTAAGATCTTCCTGCCAATTTCCCCTGCTTAGAGAAATGGCCCTTTCGCTTTCACATCTGACAGTAATTTAAGTGTCAGAACTATTTCGATGTCTCAGTGAGGATTCATCCCTAGAGAGAAAGAGTAATGTGAAAATCCAAAAGATAAGGAACAATGTTAACATTTATTGATTTGTAATAACAGAGTTCCCTGCCTTTGAGATCTTACAAATCTTGCTGGTTCTGGGTTAAAATTGTCATGGGATTGCCAATTCCTGGCTTTCAAAACTGAAGTGTTAAGAAGTACTTCATGTTAAGATAGCATTTATCTTGTTTTTCTATGGAAAAGGTTGGTGAAATATATGCTGCATCATTGTCCTGAGTTGGGTCACTCTATCCTGTTAGGTATTCAGTATTTTAATAAGCTCCTTCTAATTGTGTACTTATTTTCATTTAGTACTGCCTGTTCCAAGGGAGTTCTTAACTGTGCATGTGTTTAAAGCTCTTAACTCTTTCAGTGCTTCCCCTCATAGGGTCCTTGCTTTAAGGAAAGCTTCATAAATCAGCAGCAGTCTAAGGTGGAAGAAAACAGATACCAAAAATCTTGTTACTTGCACTGCCTGAGTCTCTTTTCACGCCCTCTGAAAATTAAGCTGTTTGGTGATGGAGCTTTTTCCAGAGGCATTTCCCTAATGTCTTCCAAATGCTGCTTCATCACAGCCAAATGGTTAGAGGCTGACACAGCCTCTGTGCCTGAGAGACACAGATTACAAATGCACAGATTTTTTTGTTTTTGTTCATTTCCAGCATATCTAGCTGCATTCCTAGAGCAGTAGCAGAGATTAAAATGTGTATAAAAGCTTTGTTCATAGGCTGTTCCACATCTGAAACTCAAGCCATTTTCTTTTAAATTGTGTCACAAACAAAGTGCTTCCTAGTTTTACTGATGCTGGTTGCTGGTGAGACATTCCTTGATCAGCAAGGAACCATGCGTTCGGTGTGCCCCTGCACAAAATCTGCTATGCATTCAACTGTTTGCAATTCAGCTGCTGAAGCACAGCCAACTTGAACTGCTTTGGGTACCTGTGTTTCACTTATTCTGCTGTCCGTTTTATTATCCACTCTTCTAGGCTACGGCTAGAAAGAGAGAAAGCAGAGGGAGGGAAGCAATCAACAGTTCCCTAATCCTACAAATAATAGTCAAGAGTTGCTCTAATAAAAGGTAAAATGGTGTATGTATATTATATATATGAAGCATGTGTGTTGCGTTTTTGCAGGCTTTCCATCTGAAGATCTCAGTGATTTATATCAGTGAGTTTAACGAAAGTGAGAGTTTGCTATGTAGTGCACATGGGGTAATATGCCTAAAAATAGAATGGAAAAAATGTTTGGCTTTATGTTAAGAGTTTTGTTTACAAAGGTTCTTCAGATGTGATTTTAACCATGAATATGTGGTGCGTAACTTTATAATGCCTAATTCATGAAGTAGAACTGTAACTGTCTGCAGAGCCTTCTGAAGCAACCCCTGAAGGCATTTGCAGCTTCCGCACACCCCTCCCCTGCCCCATGGCCATGTCCCAGAGCAGCTCATGTAGAGATTGGAGACTACCAGGCTGTGGCATGCGGGTGGCCACCGCTGCCTGACGGTGACTGGCTGGTGCAGGCGCCCATAGCCGGTCCCCGCTTTGCTGTGTGCCCCAGTTCCCGTCCCACACCACTAGCTTTTCGTTCTTCTCTCCTGCTTAAGGACTGCCACGTTGCTAATGGTGGCTTTTATTGCAGGCCTTAGCAGGGAACGGTGTAGCACTAAGGACTATCATGGTCGTATTGTGTGTTCAGGAGATTCCTAAATAGATTTTGTCTTTTTCGTTCTCAGGAAGCATCCGTAGTTGTTCCCACTAGCTAGGTAGAGGGGACATTTAAAGAAGCCTCTAACCCTTCTCTAGACTGCCTTTGCATGCTATTCCAGATGTAGGTATTCTTACTTCTATTCCAAACTTGCACATAGTTGGGCTGCTCTGATTTAAATTGCAATATTACCCCAAATATGTAACTAAAATATAAATTTCTATACCATTTCATTGGTCCCTTTCAGTCGTCTGTCCTCCTCTCAATCAACTACAAAGTCCTTCTGCAGAGGAGGGGTTCACACTCTGGATTCTGTGGGGTAAAGAGCTTTACTTTTATTTTAGGCTTCAGACACCAAGCTTAAACAAGCCACTAGTGCAAGACAGTGACAGAGATTAATTCCAAACATAAGAGTTCCCAAGAGACTCTTAAATCAGTGTTGACCGGATTTTAATAATAGCACATAATGTTTCCATGACTTGCAAGCAAGTAACAAGCAAACAAGCTTTGACAGACGTCTTACATAAATGCTCTCTGTGATAGATAAGACCAATAAGGAGATGGGAAGTAATGCCTAAGCCATTTTCTAGGGAAAAAAATAAATTAAATTAAATTTAGCACTTCACAGTATTTTGGAACACTAGTGTTCCATCTCATGTCTTGGACATAGCTCTACTATGAAAAGCTGGTGGGAAAGCTTTGTGAAAGACTTCAGTATCATACCACTAGTTGTTGTGGTCAACTGGTGAAAAACATCCTTCAGAACACATTTTAAAAAATAAGATACTCAAAAGAACAGTTGAAACTTTATCTTGCTTTCAGATAAGATAGCATATGCTGAAGGCAGATAAACTCTAAATTACTTCATTACACTCTTTTGCAGATATTTCACAATAAACAAGAGAGGGAAATAGAAAAGGGAGTGTCTCTTCCAAGAAATTACATATGTGAAAAGTCATGACCTTCCAAACGATGCAATTCAAGAGCAGGCAAGCACTATGTAAATACCTTGCTCATTTGAGGAGAATTACTGCTTAGTTTGGAATCGAGTGTCATTAGTGACATGCCTAAAAGTGGCTAATGTCTCAGGTGGGAAGTAACAGACCTATAATTTGCTGGATATATCTCTTTTATCTATATCTTAAAATGCTTAGACTGCCACTTCCTCCATCTAGAGAAGTCCCTGTGTCAGTTTTTCCTGGCAGTGGGGCAACCGTTTGAGTGTGAGTGTTGTTACTCAGTGTGAGTCCAACAGAGAGGTGTTGTTACGTGTTAGCAGACTGTTTACAGTTCTACAGAGCCTTTAGCAGTGCATGTGGGAATAGTGCTCGCCCTGACAGCACGCCTGCTCTGTGCCTCTATCTCATTTAGTGTATTTCCCAGTCATCATTGTGCTATATCCAGTGCTCCAACATGCGCTGTCGTCATTCGGTGCACTCGTGATTTCCCGTGAGCAGACCGTGTGTCCACTTGGTGATACAAAAGAATTGCAGAGAGTAGAGCTGCTTCTCCATGAACGCACATCTGTGTGTCTGGCTGCTGCCATTAGTTTTAGATCAGTGCTACTGCTTCCACGTCTCCTTTTGAGGCACAAAACCCCATTGCTCTAGTTGTTGTGCAAGATCTTGATACTTCAGAATTGGTGCCTCACTCCCTGTGTTTTTTTGTTGTTGTTGTTTTGTTTTTTTGGAATTTTTTTTACTTTGTTTTTCAGCTGGCAGTTCTTGGGTCTGACTAGCACTATGTTACTCCTTGTAAACCAGTTTTTGAAAAGCTTCACAGATTCTGAGAGTCTTACGCAGAATCCCAACTGTTACGAGGACATCCTTAACAGCTCTTAGTTTCTTGAATGATATCTGATATTTAAGGAACTTCAGTTTTCCTGGGCTGCAGCCTGTACATATTCAATCTTGTATTCCATTAGTAGTTCATTCAGTAGTTGTTACAACCTGGCTCTTTTGTGACCTCTCCTCTTTTACAGTAGAAATGCTGTGATGCACAAGATGATGAGTCTCTCTGGATCTGGATCAGTTGACATGGGGGTCCCTGGGAAGGCAGCCGAGGTCCTGTCTTTCATCAGCAGTGGTGGTGAGTACCTGGGCTAGATGTCTGATTTGTGTCTGTTGTCACACTAGAAAATCTGCTTGACGTTGCAGATGCCCCGGTATATAAAGTGAGAGGGCCTTGTTTGATCAAGCCTAGCAACTTCAGTCATTTACTGTGTTTAGTGGCTTCAGACTGACATCCGTTCTGAAGAAGTTACTGATAGGTACTCTGCTAGTTTCAATGGCTCTTCCCTGCAGACCTGCCTGGGCAAACCAGCTTTCATAGTGTGGTTGCTGTGCATGGGCAGGCTGAGGGCCAGGTTGAGAAGACACGGAGGAGTCTGCATCTAAACTCAGTTTGCTGTCCTCGTGACTTTGCCCTTGAAATTATTTAGAAAGAGATCTACTTTGTCAGAATACAGAAATTTCCTGGTTACTATTCTCTTCCCCCTTGTCTTTCAAATTAAATCTGGTACTGAACCCACTATTCAAGCCTGTTTTTCTGCCCTGCTTTGCTGGCTAGCCATGTTTGCTATTCTGCACGTCAGCCACAATATCTGTTAAATGATGGTGTGACTTGTTTTTGTGAGTTTCTTATTAGCAACTGCATTTTCTAATTAGCCTCAAAATTATGCTAATTCTTCCATCTAATTATCTAGCCTAATACTGCTAGTTTATCAGTGCTACTGAGATTATACTTCAGATGGCTCCAAAATCCATTTGCAATCAACTGCTCATTGGCTATGTAGCTGGGCTGAAAGGATGGCAGCCAGTTTTGTAGCCTGTGCACGTGTGTGCTGAATATTTTTGCAAGCGTTAGCCATGCCACAGACATTCTCCCCTTCATTAACATTGCCCAGTGACATGAATTAGTTTTTTCTTTTCTTGAGGGAGCTCTGATAATGGGTCTTAGATCAGTTCTCTTTCCCGTAACTCTCACATCATTGCCCATCTTTTATGTATTCCGGCGTCTTGTGATGTTTTCACAGACTTAGTCTATGTTCCTCCATTTGATCCCTTTTTTTTTCTGTAGCCTGTATGCTTGTTGCATCTCGCTGGTCTTTGCTGGAAAAAAAGAGAAGGTGCACTTCAAACCACATCTGAACAAGTCCAGGGAGAGAAGTTAAATGCTATGAGGATGTCACTGATGGACTTAGCCATATGCTAACCCCTGTTCAGCCTGCTGGGATTCTGTCTGCTGCTGAAGCAAGAGGGAGAGGGTTTAGGAAAATGCCAGCTGATACTGCAAGTTTCTCTACTCATGTAGCTAATAGCAGAGTACCAGGTGGCATGCAATGCATTGAACAGATTAATGCTTAAGAGTTCAGCTGAAGCCATATATCAATTATATAGTAAATCCAACTTCAGAGCTTCTGGAATGGGATCAGAGAGGCTCTGGTGACGTAATGCACAGCACTGATCCAGTGTAAACTCACTCTACCAGCTCAGATTTGTTTAGGAAAAAGCTGATTACAACAGGTTAATGCTATACTAGCTTGCTGTGTGACAGATCAGATGCTGCCTACTGTCAAACAGCCACCATAAAAAGCACTATATTTTGTGTACTGTAGCTAATCTGCCAAAAACACAATTTTGAACCCTTGCCTGATCCAATGCGAACAATTGCTGTTCATGCACATTAGTTCTGATCATATAGTGCACATTAAGGATTGTGGACCCATAGTGACAAGTAAATAACAGTAAGTGCAAGTGTTTCTTCTGCGAAAGGTCGTGCTGTAGGTATGGCTGCTCCCTACAAGACTTCCAGATGTCCTTTCCCTCTTGCGGAGGATATTCAGTCCTCCTATGATTAATGTGATGCCATTAATGTCATGTAAGGAAGTTGGAAGACAGCCTTTGAACCAAAGAATTACTATCTTCCTTTTTCAGCCTTAGTCAGCAGCCCAGTTTGGCTTTGGCCTCTTCTGGGCAATGGTTCCCCCTTGTTCTGTGATGTTTCTGTAGCTTTGACTACTGGTAGCATCCCAAGAGCAGGGTCATGGCCAGTCAGTCAAAAGCCTTTGGCAGTACACACCTGTTATTGAGAATTTTCCCCTTCAGCCTTTGTGAAGATACC